AATGCTGTAAAAACATTAAATTAGCGTGACATAGATACCAGATGTCTTACCCCATCCGCATCAAATGCAGCTCCAAAGCCAAAGTCACTTCCTTTCATGGCATCTACCAGAGAGGTGGCGTAAGTCAAGCTGGGCTCAGGAGGGCGGCCACCAAAGTCCTCCAGAGGGACACAGTTGACCGCTGAGTTAGCAGGGGCCCCCAACTCATCACACAGGATCCTACGTACATATGGGCCCGTCACTGTAACATGAGAAGAGAAGAGAAGAGAAGAGAAGAGAAGAGAAGAGAAGAGAAGAGAAGACAAGAGAAGAGAAGAGAAGAGAAGAAAAGACAAGAGAAGAGAAGAGAACATTAACCAAATAGCCAAAATAAACAGCAGCTCAGGGCTTATACGAGGGAATGATGATTTGTCTCACCTCCATTCATTGCATCTATGTGGATCTTCAGCCGACCTGGTGCTGTGAGGAGACTTTTAATGGCATTAAAGTCAAAGATGTTTCGCAGCAGCTGTAGATACACCTCAACTGAGTCCACGATCTCCACTGGAAACACAGAGAAGAGATGATCAGTACTGGATGCTTATCAGAAAGTGATACTGAAAAGCCTGAAGATTTAAAATTTGACGGACGAATGTACAAAACTGGCTGACTGACTGACTGACTGTTGTACCTCTGAAAGGTTTGAACTTGTTCTCCAGGTCAAATTCTTGTCTTCCCAGCCTGGAAAGGTCAATGCGGAGATCGGGGCAGATGGCATACTCCTCAAGTGTTCGGCTCACCTGGTAGATCCTCTCCATCACTGTGTCCGAAGACGGGCCTGCCGGCAAAATAAGGACATACATTAATATTTGTAAACTTAACCAACACTGGCATTCAATTTTCTCTCCAGATAGTCATAAAACTTCCCAGCATCCTGAAAAAGCAGACCAAAAAAAGTACATCCCTTCTCACCTCCGTTTGCCACGTTGAACTTGATTCCAAAGTCTCCACCAGGGCCTCCAGGGTTGTGACTAGCTGTGAGGATGATCCCACCGATGGCCTTGATCTTCCTGATGATGCAGGAAACAGCAGGGGTGGACAGGAGGCCGTTGTGGCCAATCACCAGACGACCAATCTGCACAGCAAATATATTAGTGAGGAGCAATGCCGGTTTCACATCATTCCAGGATGTCACCTATTGTAATAATGCTTTCTGATATGCTAGAATTGTCTCATAAGTCTGACGTGTTAATATAAAATCAGGCAAGAAAATCTGTGAAAAAGTGATCCATGTTTCACATAAATGAGGCAGAAAAGTGTCAGGTACTGTGTGTGGTACTGTGACAAATAAAAAAAAAAAAATAACAAACACACTTTTTTCCTCAATCTTCACCTGAAAAAGTTCAAGAACCAGGTGTGACCCGGACTGAAATCAACACTGGGCCGAAGCATCTCGTCATTCTACAGGTGACCAACTGATAGCCCGCTGTAAAAAGCAAATCATCTGCCCCAGGAGGGTTGCCTATATAACAGAGCTGCACTCTCCATTTACAATTTGTACGCTACTTTTAAAGTGGTAATACCACCAGCATCCCATAATACCCCTGCGTATCAGCCATACTAAATAAAAGTGTCCTCACTAGAGAGGAATGTATCCTCCTGACGTCAGTGTATATCCTTGTAACATCCAGCAAGGATTGAGAGAGAACGTGAAGGAAAACCAGAAGTTATGTACTCATCAAAATGCATTTAGCCTGCACAGTGTTGTGTGTAATAACCTAAGAACATATACAGTATAAATAGCTCTGTTCTTTCTCACTCTGTTTAGATTATATTCAGAAGCCAGTGTGAGAAGAATATCTGCACTATTTACCACTATCCTGTATTTTGGTTCAATGCTTTATAACAGAGGATCCCCAAAGCAAGTAGTTTGGCCCAGGACAGATGGAACAGCGAGAGGGGGGGTGGGGGTGGGGGGCGTACGTAGGCAGGAAAATAGAGCAGGATGGATGGAAGTGCTGATAAGACTGACATCAAGAGACACTTGGCTGGGCCAGCAGAAAAAACGGACTGATGTCAAAAACAAATTATATTCCCTTCAGATTTTCCTTTGGAAAACGTCCAAACCAATCACAAAGATCTCAGAGCAAGCGTTTTAAATGAGCTGTGGGGATTTCCCTCCACTCTGTGTCTCTCACTCTGTCTTCCTATTTTCATTTATCTGCTACCGCTGCTGACACTTTGAGTTCAGTTACTTTCTTGGATGGGTGACAAGTTTGCACGTCCTAATTACACAAAACATTACTTTCAGTCTGAACCTTTCAAGTTTCTCTTTGCATGAGGACAGGCTGCATGAGCTGAGGTGGTAGAGCAGCCAGTTCTGTAATTGTGAACAAATATGCACCAAATATGTAAAGTAACATGTAAATTATGCAAGTAAAATTATTTATATTATATATTATGTATTATATTATAATTGTAGGTAAAGCTATACCTCATACCACAAGAAAAGGTTAAGATGAGAAAATACTCCATTCAATTTTACTCACAATAATTTTGTGTTTTCTTATTCCCTTCACTGGCAGTTGTTTTGCGACCCCTTGTAGGGCTCCCAACCCCCAGGTTGGGAACCATTAAGCTACAGGATAAGTACATGAACATCCTGAATCCAAAATGTGATGACTGTTGCTGGCATGTGTGAAGCAGTGAAGCACCTTCCTGGAGTTTGGTAATTGCTACTTTCCAAGTCGGTCAGTGTTTTATATCACAAATTGTTTTCATACATGGTTAACTGTCACATTTTCCAGCAGTCAAAAGACAGTATAATAATTAAACTAAATATTAAAATATCAAAATGTAGAATTCAAGTTGTAGAAAATAAGAAAAAGCAAGAGAGTGAATCCTCTACATGTTTTAAGTGTTTCCAATAGGTTAATATAGTAGAAACAAATGCACGACAGTGTCTGTATGTCCAGATCACCCCTCCCTTCTTACCCCATTGGCAGCTGCCATCTGCACTATCGCTTCGATGGCAGCTCGGCTGAAGTAGCGGCCGTCGCTGCCCACCACCATGGTGCACCCATTCCGGTCCCGCAGGTCGATGGAGGACAACACGCTCTGGATGTAGTTCTGCAGGTAGTTCTTCTTGCCCTCGAACACCGCTGTCTTCCTCCGCAGCCCGTTGGTACCGGGCCGCTGGTCGTCGAAGGGGGCGGTTTGGACCGTCACCACCGGGATGGGGCTCGTCTCCATCCTCCTCGTCTGGACCCAACGGGAGGACGCCGATCTGACAACTTGGGAGTTAGGTCTGGAGTTTGCTGCTGGTGGTGTCCGACCACAAAGTAAAAGTAAAGTGAATGAACGGCTCAGAGATGGAGCTTGTCAGCCTGTAAAGTGAAGTTACAGTTGTTCTGGAGGAGAAGAGCAGTGACAGCAGCCCCACACAGGGATGTAAGCAAACACACTCAGTCAGAAATGTCCTCACCTCGGCAACTAATGTTAAAGCCAAGAGAGCTGCATCCCTCAGTTAACATTCAGCAAAACTCTCCTCTGCTGTTAGACAACTCCCTCTTTTCCTAATAAGACTGAACAACTGACTGCAACAGAAAAAATCAGGGAGGGCCAGAATCCTCAAGGCCCACAATCAGCTGAGCCTCGGGCCAAAAATAGACCTCTGACTGAGGGTAGAGGGGGATTGTTTCAGGCCCGGTCTGCAACCGGACACTGCCTGTGTCTGTCCTGTCCAAGGCATAACCGTCCGTGACTGTAGTCACTGAGGGCCTGCAGGAGTTTAAAAGAGGGGAATGAGAGCGAGCTGCGCAAAAACATCTTAACAGCAAAGTTGTTGTCTTTTTTTATTTGAACCAGGATCGTCTACATCTCCTGCAGATTATCTGCATACAGCCTAATTTTGATAACCATATAGACTCGATTTTACATGCTAAAAGGAATCGTATCTGTGACATTGCGGTCACTGGCCTGCAATCTCATAGTAAAAGGTCTCCCATCACGGCAAGTCAGCATCGGGATGCATTATGTCCGCTCCAGAATTTGGTAAATACTGCGACCTTGAGGCAGGAAGGAGGAACTGATCTTTTCTTATAAATCTAAAAGAGCGCAAGTGATGTTTCATTCCACAACAAATAGATCCTAAATAATAACATAACAGATGTTAAAATATCTTCCAATTTTTTATAATTTTGTGACTTTTGACTTTTCGGTATGTAATTTTAAATTGTGGTTGCAACAAACACACGGTTCTATTCTTCTGTTACACATCATGACTTTAATTGTGTAAATGTAAAGATTTTTTTTTTTAATTTTTTTTTAATTTTTTAGGTCTTCGACATTGTTTTATGAAATTGGCTTCTGCACGTTTAAATGACATGATGTCTATTCATTAGTTGTTTGGAACATGAGTTTGAAGTTTTGTCTCAACTATTATATCTTATATTATAGCTAATTCGGCAGACTGCTGTTCTATTCCTTCTGTAACTCCTCTGCACCATGACCAGAACCACACAGCACATTTTTGTTGTAAGTTGCCAAATAAAGAACCTAAAACAAAAAAAGTATAGCAGTTATTTTTCAGACATTTATTTTCACACGTTAATTAATTAATAACAAAAACACATTCATTAGCGAGGGTTTCCACTCCAGCAAGTGTCACATATATATTAGCCTACCGCTCATCTTATGTACAATGGTTTCATTAAAGACATAACTTTGAATGTCAACGCACATAAATATCATGCAATTCAAACATTTCTTTGAGAAATGAGCTACACCAACGTGTCTTCACAGAGCATCAAACATACAGACACTGTAAAGTTTCTTATGACCAAAGGCTTCAGCAGCGAGGGTAAGAGAGTCTGAGATGCTCATTTATTAAAGGAGCAGTGCTCAGCATGGCAGGGGGGCAGAATGGAGTCCTGGGAGTCTGCAGGAGCGTCGGAACCAAACAGGCAGCGGGGCCCGACACGAGATGACCGTATCCGAGAGCGCTGTGCTGGCTCTGCTGTGGATTCGGGTTCTGAGGAGCGACGGGGGAGGGTTTGCTCATGATGCTGTCGATGCTGAAGGAGCACTTTGCCTTGGGGCCAGGCTTTGGCTCAGCGGGTTCTGTTGCGCAAAGCTGCGCACTGAAGTCTTTAGGCCCACTGCACTTTCCGTGGTTGTTCAGAGTCTGTGGTAGAAGGTGATAGGAAGAGGGAGGAACCATGATGCCCTCCTGCAGGGGCATGTACCGGATAGGAGCAGTGGTCGGGGGGCTTACCTGGCCCCGTACACAATATGGTTGCCCGTACGGCCGGTAGCAGTTCAAGCTGGAATAAAACATAAGTCCGTCTTTGCTGAACTCTGGCTGGTTTCTCTTAAACCGCTTCCTTCGGCGCAGGAAGCTGCCGTTGTCGAACATGTCTTCTGAGGCTGGGTCCAGTGACCAGTAGTTGCCTTTGCCCGGGTTCCCAGGCTCCCTCGGGATCTTGATGAAACAGTCGTTGAGGGAGAGGTTGTGCCTGATGGAGTTCTGCCAAGCGGGGAACTTGTCTCTGTAGTAGGGGAATTTGTTGCTGATGAAGTCACAGATGCCACTCAGCGTCAGCTTCTTCAGCGGGCTCTGCAGGATGGCCATGGTGATGAGGGCAATGTAGGAGTAGGGGGGCTTTACCGAGCTGCTCTGGGCTTTCCTGGACGGCGGTGCGTCTGCGCAGAAACTGTTCTCACTCTCCCCCGATGAGTCCGGCTCTGAAGAGTCAAATTCAGCACCAGATTCTGCTGAGGAGCCTGCGTCCGTAGAGCACTCATTTCGATATAAACGCCCGTGGGTAGACCTATCCTCGCCCACTATGTCAATCTCATCCTCCTCTAGAGGCAGGGCGGCGTGTTGTGAAGATTCAAATTCACTGGAGAGAGTCATGGCCACACGCGGACTGTTCACAAACGCGTAAAGAAAAAACTCAGTTTTGCCAACGAGGCCTTAATGGTTCGCCGTGCGTAAAAACCAAAAGGCACCTATTCATGCGTAAAAGCGCATCTGCCGTCTGCGTCTCCTTAAACCTTGTGTGCCGGCTGTTTGCTGTGATAGGGAGAACTGAGGCTTTATATGTTGAGAGGCTGCTGCCCTGCAGGCCAGTCCCATTAGCCCTCTGAACCTATCAGAGTAGCCCCTCACCGCGGGGAGCCAGAGGAAGCAAGCACACAGGTGGGGAGGGATCTTCAGGGTATTCCTGAAGTGCGCAGAAAGCCCACTTTCTGGTGGTAATTTTTTGCATATTAGCCAATATAGCAACATTTTTATGAGATCTACTGGAATGAGAACCAACAACGTAATATATTACATCAATAAAAACTCTCAAAAAGAAAAAAAGAAAAAGAACCACAGCTTACTGCTTCACAGCCTAGAGTTCTTTATATCGAGATAATGCGTTTTAAGTGTGGCCTCTACACATTAGTGTTTTATTTTGGATAACCGCTTTTTGCTCTACATCAAACACATTGAAAATGATTTTAGCTGGTTTGCAAGTTATGAAGCTATTGTGCTGTTTAATCATTTGACTTTACAAATCCAGAAGCAGAGTCGGAGGTGGGATGTTGTTGGGATTTTTAACACCAAGCCTGTAACCCGTGATAAGAAACCCAAGTGTTTTCCCCTTGGAACCCCCGCGGGTTCGTTTAGTTTGCCACCTCTAGATGCCCGCGGGTGGTGTGACCATGAAAATGGCCGTGGCAGGGCTTCCCGCGGCCAGCAGAGAAAAGAGGCAATAGTCGCCTTAACGAGACCATCAGCATCAGAATCGAATAGGAAACGGCTCAGCTGCATGGTGCGTTCAGGGCTACAGGGCTCAGCTCCGCTTTACGACCGGGATGAATAAGCAGAGCCATCCTCAAAGCAAACCGGTTCACAGCGGATATGTGCCAAAACCGTTCGGCTAAACCATCTCCATTGCAAATGACCAAGTTGGGAAAACTCCACCTATTTCCTCACCTGACTGGGCCTACTGTGTGTGTGTGTGTGTGTGTGTGTGTGTGTGTGTGTGTGTGTGTGTGTGTGTGTGTGTGTGTGTGTGTGTGTGTGTGTGTGTGGTGTGTGGTGTGTGGTGTGTGTGTGCGCAGGCTGTGTGAGGATGATGGTTCTCACATGACTTTACCAATCAAAGCTTAAACAACAAATACCAAGAAACAGAATGGCTGTAATTTGTCAAGTATTATAAGCACAAACTTCACTGAAGCTGCAGGTGCAGATGGCAGCACCACACACGCAGCTGAGGGAAAAACATCTAAATGTAGTTTTATCAGCAACTGAAACTGAGCCAGAAATGTCAGATTAGCTTTCAAAGGGACAGACAAAGTAGATAAATGAATAGTAATAAAAAAAGGTTACAATTCCATTGGGAACAAGTAAAAATACAGATTTTAAATAAAACCGGTAACAACTGGACTGTTTCACTGTAGTAGAAAGCTAAATAAATTATTCACCCAGTTTAGATGCACAGATTATAGGTTTTCATGGCACTAACAAAATGTTAAGAAACAATAAATTGGAGCCAATTATAATTGTATTTTCTAGGATACTAGTTGTAAATTATTACTTTCCTATAATATCTGAGTTGTCACACTTGTGAAACAAACGTTTCTCTCATCATCGTCTCTTCACTTGATGCAAACCTTAAAAAACTCTCTATATGCGTTTCATAACAATGAAAGCTAAGATGTTAATGCTCTTGGAGCCTCTTTTCACACTTTGTTGAGTATCATAGTGAACCTTCCACAAAGGCACTGTCTCTGTCATGTTAATAGTCTGCTGTCGTCAGCTAGAACAAGCCACGTTTACACATGATTATTTTGTTTAGGTATATTACAACAGTCTCAGAATAACATGTTCAGAAAAAAAACTTTATTTTGAATAATTTAAAAATACAAGCAGGGCTGCTTCATTTACAAAGTACAGTCTTGTACCAGACTTGATAAAGTATGTGCACCTCTTTGCAACCTCTAACACTATTTGTCCCCACCTTCAAAAATTGCAGATTTTACAAAGCCGTCTTTATAAAACTTTTCTGTGGTATCTTTGTGTGTGTGCACATTTAAATTTTTTTTTTCGGGGTTATTTATAGAGGTCATGTTTGGAAAGTTTCCAGGGAGAGAAGCAATTAACAGCATTTAGCTCAGGCACTACAGCAACATAAACACACTTCCTGTGATATACCATAGCATTTAAAGCTGGTTGTGATGGATTATCACAATTTAAATTTACTGTCATGATTGCTACAGTAACTTTAGCCATCCTCAGACATACCTCATCCTCATGAAGGAAAGGAATCAACATCTGAAACACAGTCCCCGATTTATGGATGGCCAAAGCCAAAACTTCTGCTCCAGAATCAACACTTTTGGATGTGAAGCGGAGAGATGAGCTTCTCGCTAGTTTCCCTCTGCCCCCTGCATAACTACAGAAATGAACTGTTCCTGCAGAACGGACTTTTCCAGGTTCCTGCCTGCAAAACAGATTGGAGAAAGCGTCAACACAGTGCAGCTATATGTGCACACAGACAAACAAAGATATCGTGCGTGTGGTCAAATTTCACATTTTTGCGTTTTCCGCTAACCTGATGTGCAATGACTAAAAGACTAAACTGAACACTGTTTCTACTTTCTGAATAATCTGTAACATATAACAAACTTTTTTTTGTTACATACACGCTTGCTACATTACCACATAAACTACTTTAAAAACTTGAACAGAAGATTATCAATAAAAGACATTTTAATCAGTTAACGCAACTCAGTGAATTGGCTGCCTTTACAGTGGTGTTTAAGAATTGTGTGAAGATAAAAATGTGAAAGAAGCGTGTGTGTGTGTGTGTGTGTGTGTGTGTGTGTGTGTGTGTGTCTGTGTGTGTCTTCACCTATGAAGACCAGTCGGTTGATCCGCAGGTTCTCCTCCCAAAGCTGTGGAGTCTCATTCAGCTCGTACAGCTCGTGGACCCCCTGCAGCATCACTTGGTGGGCGTTTCCTGCAAATGATACTATGCCCTGAAAACACACAAGTCACAAGTCACGAGTGACACATTAACCCACACTGAGTGAAGTGTTTGGAACTGATTAATATGGATAATAAAGCTGCTGTTATTGATCACTGCTGCCACTGGGCTGACTACTGTGCTCTATTGTACCTTTAACCGGATGACTGTCATGGGTTGCCCTTCTTTGTTTTTGAACATCTTTTCCCATAGGAGATCCTGAAACAGTGGAAAACGGGTGTTTACTTTTCAAAGGACTTTGTTGTGCTATAGCTAATGGTCGCGGGGGATCTGAATGATGCAGAGCGTCTGTACCTGTATGAAAACATTCAAGGCGTCCTCAGAGAGATTTCCAGCCACTTCAAACGTCACAGTTAAAATACTCTGAGGATGACACATAACACACCACACAGAAATCAATTCATACAAGAAATCGAACATTTTGTGATTCTGAAAAATTATAGCACTTTTCAACATTTTTCATCACGGAAAAACACATAAGTGACACTTTATGTGAAATTGAAATACACAAAAGTACTTTCAATGCAGTAGTGAAATTCATACTCAGGTCTTTTACTCAAGTAAAAGCACCAACACCACGATGACAAAATAATCCATTAAAAATCTGACTGAAGTATATCAACAAAAGTACAATAAAGTATCACATGTAAAAATACTCATTATGCAGAATGCCCCCATGCACAGTGTTATAGTAATCATATACAATATTATATCACTGGTATTACAACATTATTAGTTTGATTCTGTCAATACTACACTGTTAGGTAGTTTAATCTTTAGCAATACATATTATATAATAACATGTTTTCTGTATAAAAACTAAGTTATAGCTGCCAGATAAATGAGGTTGTATAAAAATTTAAATGTTTCCATGGGAAATGCGGTGGAGTAGATTATAAAGTACCGTGAAATTAATATACTCAGGTAAAGTACAAGTACTTCAAATTGTACTTAAGTTCAGTACTTGGTTAAATTACACTGCAACACTGGTTTTATGTTTTCATGTCCTGAGTAATATTATTTAAAATACATTTTAGCATACATTTCTGGGTTTCTGAAATTAGCAAAGTCATAATGAACATTAAACAAAAGAAGTGTTTTTTACACCCCGGCTGATGACTTTGTCAATGACCATGTCAAAAACCACAACTACCAACAACGGCACCTCTCTTTATCTGCCGCCCCTCTCGCTCTTTCTCTCTCTCTCTCTCTCTCACACACACACACACACACACACACACACACACACACACACACACACACACACACACACACACACACACACAGTCTGTCCTCTCAGTACTTCCTTACAGCATTAAAAGAGCACTTTGCAGATATTTGGGGGTTTTGTGTTGAAGTGTTAAGGTTACACACTTCCTTGTCATTTGGTATAACAACAGAAAAACAGCATTCTCATTTACATGAAAAGAGCAACATGGGGAAGAAGGGGGGGGCAGGGGGGCTGGGGGTCTGAGGGACGCTGAGCTTCATGCGGGAAAGGGAACCTGGAGAAAACAGACAACAATACCATTATTTGCTCACACAAACAACCCTCATCTGTCCTCATCCTGTGATAAAAGTTCATGGTTATAAAGCACAACTGAAAACAACATGAGGCCTAATTGCTGCAAGGAGTCATTTGCTCTAAAGCCTGATGAAACATCAAGAGAAATGATATGATATGAGACCAATCCTGAAATAAATATTTTTTCATTCTTTACATCTTCATAGAAAATAGCTGGACTTGTTACACTAGAGGCTTCCCATTCCCATATCCGACACTCAGCTGCTAATTATCTGGTCAAACGTGGTCCGTGTGCTACATTTTATGACATCTGCATTCAGCTCAACAACTGTAAAGCAATAATATGTAGCCAAGACTCTAGTCAGTCTAGCCAACACAGTGCGCCCAGTCTCTTTAAGTCTCGAGTGAATCGGTGTCTGCGCTGCCGTGTATGACCGAGACCGCATCTATTTGTAGTGTAACAAGAAAACATCAAAAGCTTCAAGTTGATCTCAATACAAAAACCAAAGCAGGGAGGGAGTTTTCACTGCGGTGTCACAGCCTGGGGGAATGCAAGGCAAAAATTTAGCCTCAGGAGATCGCATCCCTCTTTACTCTGTAGGAAATGATGCGTTGAAATAAATTAGCAAACAAAACAAGGAAAACTGGAAGAGAGTAAGTACAGGGAGCGCATAAGTGTGAAACAGTTCAGAGCACACAAACAATACCTTGTCGAGATGAGGCCTTGTAGGTTTCACAAGCTGGAGTTTCTCTGCTAGACTTTCAGAGGAGAGAAATGTTTAAACGCCGTGACATATTTTTCCAGTTTCATTCATTACATGAGACTCATTTTCACTTAAAAAGATGACAGTGTTGCACTAAATGCAGAAAACCAAAATTAATTTTATAAAGGATTTAAATAATAGTTTATAATAAATTGTTAAATATGTTCCCAAGTGTATCTGTCAGCTGTAATGCATAGTTTCATGTTGTGTAATGATGGAGTGACATAAGTAAGTAAGTAGACATAAGTTTCAAGCCAAAGGTTGTTGTTAGGTTGTTTCCAGATATTATCTTTGACATGATTGTTTTAGAAACTGTATTCATTATTTCATAATCACATTCCTGTTTAATCCTGTTTTTGTGGCATATTTTGTCTTCTCTATTTTAAGTTGTTTATCTGTAGCTCACTGTTATTGCCGCCCATTGTGAAAAATACATTTTTATTATCAGTGAGGCTTTACAGGTTTGTACATTGCAGTACAAACCAACAGACTTGAGCTTTTTTATTTCTTTTATCCACATCCTTCACGTTTTCTGCAGAAGAGTGGACTATAACGTTTTTTCTTTGTGTTTTGATCTCACAGTATAACACAAAGTGTGCTGTATCACTGCTTAATGACACAACTCCTGAATGGACTTGTGAAAACTTTAGAAATGGCAATTAAATCCTACAAAACACCCACCACCCCCACCCCCAAACAAACTACAGGCCTTGCTCTCTCCATCAGACCTCACAAGGAGGCTAAATGTTGTGTCCAGCAGCTTGAGCCCTGTGTGCTGTTAGTACCACACAGGCAGAGCAGCGGGGGGCCGCTTCAAACAGCCAGCATGGGACTGAGTGGAGGAGGGGCCTGGACTCTCAAAGGCAGGGGAAAGGAGCTATCTGTTGGGACATGGGGGACTCCTCAGGAGCCAGTGGACACACACAGCTCTAATCCTCTGCAGCTGGTCTCAGAGACACTGACTGAGGGCATGTAAGAGAGCTTTAACACCGAGGCCCGTTTCATTCACATGAAGGGATGAACATTGACTCTATTCATGAGAATGACATTCTACAGGGGATACAATATGATGACCACCCTGTGGTGTAACAGGGGGATGCTCAATAAAAGAGTCTGTTAATTAGAGGGCAACGCGGTGAGCAACGGTATCAGAGACTGCTGGGTACACAGTTCAGACAGGCTAGCAACAAAGGCCATCAGTGCACTCAAAATAAGTTTTTGATCTTTCACTGCAAGTTTTAAAATAGAGCATCACAGGTAGCGATCACTGACACGGTCAACACATCCACTGATATCGGCATTTACAGCATTCCAACCTATACGCAACAAGAAATTACAGTGAAGACATGTTAGGTACGATATATTTGAATTCATCTAAAAAGTGTCATTGTTACATAGGTTGTCTACTAGAGAGCACTGACAAGTTTTTTTTTTTTTAGCTGTGAAATATCTTTATTTTCTTCTTGTGAGAAATTTGGGGTTATCCGTAGAAATGTTGAAGACACGATATCACTAGAAAGTAAAAAGAAATCCTTGGGAAATGTTTTGAACTATTGGATATAAGTATTGGTTTCAGCCTAAAAAATCCACTCATAGCCATAAGACAAGATTTCCATGTTGCATTTATTACCTTTACTAAATTCAGAAAATTAAAAATTTTATTTTAAAAAATATCTGAATACAACTTTACATTCAAAATGAGGGGCAATGTGTGCAAAAATGCCAGCTGCATTTACAGCCTGTCATTAAAAACATTAAAAACATGTACAAACAAGTAACAACGTATTCAAGCATTTTTCTTTAACCTGTTTACCTATTTTATGCGAGTGGAATATATAGTTTTTGCTTTTAAAGAAAAAATAAATATGTTATCATTTCTAATATGCAAGTAAGTAAATAAGTTAGAAATAGAGCTGCCATTACATCATTTAGTAATCTTTATTTGGAAAGTTTATTTTTCAATTGTGAAATGTCCCTCTCAGTAAATATCTTGGTCACAATTCTTTAATAACCCAATCAATGTGAGACAAATATCATTAGATATATTGCCAGAATTGTCAATACTGATATTAGACTTATGTGTGGCTCTTAAAAGTCAGTTTTTTGACACTTACAGTCACTTATTTTTTCTGAATGAATATGTTTTGTGTACATGAGACTGAAATGGGGCAAAACCAACTCACTTGGCTCCATCCTTGCTGTCAAAGGAATGCAGATCCAGGACTTCAGAGAGATCCACCCTGTGGAACAAGACCACTGCTTATTTTACTTTTTCCAGTTTCATTTAAAATCCAGCTTCACCATTGTGGGGAAATAAATTAAGTGAGAGATCTCAGCGTTTGCCACAAGTTGGCTAAAACTAACATTAAGGGTAACCAGGTGAACTGACTCAAGCAAAAAGTTGTGGGAATGTTTTTCTGATTAACCCCTCGCTACACGGTGTCTTTCATCTGCTCACCCTGGTCTGAACTCTGTGGGGGGGGGGGGCAAAGCAGATCCAAAACACACCCAAACCTTTGATACACACTGCTTGTGTTAGCCAGATGCTACCTGGGTCTAACAACACACAACGTGCTAACACAGAATGTGCATACACACACACACACACATTTTTGCACGTATGTACACTGATGCATATGCAACCATGTCAGCTTGAAGACCCGGGGGTCAAAGAGCAAAGACTTGTGGGTAACTGGACACCATTGAAGGTTTGGTGTTTACTCAGGTCGCAGCAGTTTGTGTATATATACGTGTGTGAGTGTTGGGGGTCTCTCATGAGCAGTGTCACGCTTGAGCTGCTTCATCTTTGATACAAAGATCTGAGGGGGAGCAGCACGTGGAGCTCATCTGTTGCACTAAACAAAGCAGGGAGCCTGGCCACAGAAAAGCTACATAACCTTATCAAACAAAATGATCATGTTTCTGTCCAGAAAATACATGACTTACTGTGATCTCTGGCTTTCTAGAATCTTGACAAGACCATTTATCGACCTGAGGTGAAGAGAAAAAAGTTATTATCAGGCTACATGTAAGGTAACATGGCCCAAAGTTTACACATGCAGCTTAATAACAGGAACAACAACAGATACATCTTCCTGTATTTGTTGTTGTTCCTGTTATCAAGCATAAAGTATGGGATTGTCGACCTGACAGTGTCTCTGACTTGGTTCAGTTCCTCCTCATTCACCAGGTCTGTCTTGTTGATAATGGTCAGGTCAGCGAGAGCAATCTGTCTGAAAAGAAATTAATAATAACATGGTGTTTATTTGGCAAGTGAACATACTCTTCAAAATTTGCACAAATCCCCCTTAGAAATGTCCAAAATTAAAATCGTGTCATTGCTTTGTCAAACTGTTTCTTCATTCTGTGTACATGCAGAAAGTGTTCATGGGTGGCAGTGGGCAATACATGCCAAACTCAAATGGGAAGTGAACACTGTTTGGTTAAGAGGTGAAAACACAAACAAAGACAAAGAATGCAAAGGGTCGTGCAACTGGTCTTTCTTCATCAGTGTATTTGTTCAACAACAACACCACCACCACCATACAGCTGCTGGAGGAGACAGACAGAAAGATGCCCAGACAGACAGAAGACAGAAGACAGAAGACAGACAGACAGACAGACAGACAGACAGACAGACAGACAAACAGACAGACAGACAGACAGGCGGCATGAGTCTGCTGACCTGGTGTGGTGGATACCGAGCGGTTTGTTTACTTTTTAAGGAATATTTTCACATTTTGGGAAATACACATATTCGCTCTCTTTTCCATGGAACACTCACTCATGTCAGCTTAGCACAAAACCTGCATTAAACATACCTGACTGCTTCATTGATGAGTCCATCTGCCTTTTCCTCGGTTAGTTGCTACAGAAAGAAGAGACACCGGGCATAACTTACACATGCACCAGGATTGCAAAGGATTTAAAAGTGCAAAACTGCTCATGCTGACCGTATACATTTCCAACTTTAAGCACATTCTTGAACAAAATAGAAATATCAGCAATCATTTGCAACAGCCAACACAAGATGTGACGGATAAATTGATAAAAGAAAATGCCTGTATTTCATCATTTTTGTGAACTAAGAGACTTTCTCAACACATGAAACCACAGGAGATTCCTTTTCATTTTGTTTGTGTCCTGTTCTTGCACTGGGGATGCAGCATTTTCCAAAACAGTTTAATATCTAATAACAGACAGAGCAGGAGGTGTTAATCTGGATCCTGACCCCCTGAGTGTCAATCTGACATGAATCTGTCACTGCCTGGATCGCCACGGCTTTAACTCCGAAGGAATGACTGACAAAAACATATTAAATAAAAAACATAATAGATTGCAGCTTTTCATTCGACAACCTCTGTATCAAGAGACAAAGGCCTTTCACAGAGCGTGAGGCCAAGGGCTCAGGTTAAACTTGAAACATCGCAGACGGACGGATATTTCATGAGGCAGGTGAGGGGAGAGGCGGGTGAGTGGATGTGACAGTCCTATTACAATGTTCACATCTCTGATATCAATTACTCCTTCACTATAAGTTATCCTCTCCTTCTTTCTGTCATCATTTCCTTCATCCCGCCTCTCTCCACTTGGAAGACAGAGCAACACCTAACGCATCACCTCACTGTGCATGACACCTTCAAATTAGAGCCCATTATCTAGGTGTCACTTATCCTGTTCCTTTTAAATACCGTCGGGAGGGCAGGGTGTATGTAAAGCGTGATGCTCTGCACTGGGGGTATAGGAACAGTAGTTTGGCTTTAAAGTCATTTTGAGCTGAATTTATTTTTAGATGTCAGTGCTCAGAAGGAAATACCGTACATACACTTCAAAGTTTGGTAACATTATTAGAGTTGCAACCAATAATTATTATTTTTTTTTAATGCTGTTTTGATTTATCAATCACTCAAAGAGCCTATAAAATGTCAGGAAATTGTGAAAAATACCAATCACAACATTCAACAGATCACTTCAAACTGCCTGTCATATCCAATCAACAGCCCAAGATATTCAATTTACAAACAGACAGACTGAGGAAAGCAGCTATTTTTTTTTTTTTTACATTTGAGAGGCTGGAACCAGCAAATGTTGACCATTTTTTGCTTGATAAATGACATGAGAGATTAACCGAATATTGAGATTTCTGTCACTTAATTTTCTGTTCATTAAGGTATCCACTTTACTAATATAATTATGTCAGATCTAGACATGATAAAGCATTTCAAAACTGAAAAGTCACTTATCACATACCTGTAGCCCATATTTGGCATCAATGACAGTGACGATGCCTAGGATGAACAAAATATACAAGTTATTAGGGATCAATGAATGTAGGACAGCACCACAACATGTGCACATTCTGTTCTGAGCTGCAGTTGCCTTTTGGTGTTTAGTTTTGTCTGATTGCTTACACCACTTTCTCAGCTATTTGAACCACACTTTTGGTCGACCAGCCTGTCACAACAGAACGGACAGCTGAGTATTTAGTGTGTTGAGCAAGACACCATTCATGCAAACACAAACACACACACACACACACACACACACACACACACCAGTAAAAATATGACATTCCCACAAACAAGGCAGGCACCATTTGGGCATGGGATGTCTCTTCCAAATTGTACTAGAATTGGAGCCATAACACAGACACAAAATATTTAATCAAAGCACTGAACAGTGAGAGTTTTTAAATCCAGAAATGTAGGGCTGAGTGCTTAATCCACCAGGTAAGTAAAAAGTGGTGTCTGGCTAATAGCAAGAATTTAAATGCTGATCGTTACCCATATTGCCCCCGACTAGACCTGTCATTTGTGCTAGGTCTACCGTGTTTTTTGCAAAGAAGAAGAGTTAAAGCCTTTTAAAGTACAAAAACAAAATTCAGACTTTGAATTACAGCACCATCATTAATCAGTGTAATGTTTTTAAATGGCTGCACTAAAATGCATTGTTCATTTGAAGTTACATCAGACAGACCAATGATATCTGAGAAATCATGTTTAGTGCAGCAGACAAACAGCGACAGCCCGAATCAGTGTCGGTGCACCGAGGGCAAAGAGTCACGTGCCATTTCAAATATCTTACCATCCAAATAGATGTCACTGCCAAGCTCTGCATCAACCCAGAACATGGAGGCCACAGCTCCTGCCACGAGATATGAATTGGTATATTAGATATAAATGACTGATAATGATAATAAAGAACATAAAAATCTAAATCACCAAAAAATTAGTGGCAGGGGGAGAAAAGTGAACGGAAGCCTTGAGATATTTCATCACATTTTTACTAATTTCTTCATTAGGTCTTCAAGAGAAGAGAAAGTTGATAATAAAAATGCAGCTCTTGGCACATTACATGGGAATTACTTAAGTTAGTAAAATTATATTAAACACTGGCAGACGTCATAAATGTTTGATTAAAAAAGATTCATAATGTAAAAATTATGAATACAATAAAGAAATTGCACAATGTTTTTCAGAATTCATGTGCAGTCACATACTAAGTCATGTTACCACTAAGCTTACATTCTTAATTCTTTCGGTAAATTCTGGGCTGCAATTAAAGGTTATTTTGATTATTGATTTGTTTACAGATTCTTTCTTTCAATTAATCAATAATCAAACTATAAAGTGTCAGAAATAGTAAAATTTAAGGCATTTTTACTTGATAAGAAACGTCGCTTTAATTGATTATCAAATAATTGTCTGTCACTAAATTAATGATTTCAGCACTAGATGAATTTACTTTATCCAGTGACATCCACATCTAAAGTATTTGTGTTTGAAGTCGGCACTGCAGTACTTCAGAAACCCTGGATGCTTTTTTTTTTCTGACTGAGATCTGTAGAGCAGATAAAACCAATATCAGAAGCTTTCAATTGTTTATGTCCTGCTGGTACATTTGGTTTGTTCCTATTTTCCTGTGAATGCGGTTATTACAAGACCCTATGTTACCATGCCAGCCACAGCTTGTTCACATAATGCACTTTTGTCAAACTGCCAAGTGAGAATAAGAAAGCATTGTAAATATTTGATGGATGCGTAATGAAAACACTGTTTTTGAGTGGCATGTTTCACATAACTCATCCAACCTCTTCCTGAATGGAAGGGGAGAATCTCCTGGGAGCCCTTATGATTGACGGCGCTGCTGGAGCCAATGACAGACCCGTCCTAGTCGATAACAAGCCTGTCTCAGCCAATGACAATGCAGAAATGTGAAGACAGCCCGGAGTCTGAGCGTGCTCTGTTGGTTCTGTCTGTGAGGCCAAGTGGTGTGTGTCTGCCCGTGCCGCTACCTCCTGACACCTGTCACTTAGCGATACACCCTGATCGCCACAGCTCTCACCCTCTGATAGCCTAATATTGATTTCCTGATTCAAACCTGAGCGTTGAACAGACAGGTGTTTTTTTTTTTTTTTTTTTTTGGCTGCCATGATGGAAATAGGCTCCTTGGATGCTCCTGTCACAGCAACACAAGTCTGGTCCTCAGAGTTAGAAAATGTTTAACTTCTGATGCAGGTTTTACAGAGAAATCTGCAGGGGTTTATGCAATATTTAGACACATTAAGAAATAAAAAATGCATCGCTTGACCCACAGGTCTTCCCTAAATATTTCTGCCAGGAACACTAAGTTGCTCTGAGTGAAATAAAAAGACAGAAAAGACTTTAAGCAGCAACAGTCTTAAGTCACAGTTCATTTTTAAGTAGACCATTAGGGGCTGGCGGTGGAGCCAATGTAAACAGTTCTGGGACAATGTGACGCAAGGATATGAAGACCGCATTTAGTTTAATTTTGACCACTATAACTTACTGTCAATACCAGCCATGTGCAGAAGTCTCCATGTGATCTTTCAGAGTATGGTCTGTCATGAGACGTGCAGCTCTGTTGCGAACTTGTGAAAACAATGATGTGATTTTGGTTTGTGTCATGTGTTGTGTATGTGGGCTGAAACAAACAAGTCACCCCACTGCCTCCAGCCCACCCACACCTTCAGGTGAAATAGCTGCTGAGTCCATGAGGTTTTACGGGAGGCAAATAACTGTCTATCTGCTGTGTGGAGTTTGAAACTAGTTTAGTTTAGTTTAAATAAAACAAAGCAACTAAAGATTTATACGATAACTGCTCTTACTTTAACTTGCAAACGTGTACCTGGATCAGCAAGTCCTGTGGTTTCTAGCAGGATGTAGTCAAACTTTCCTTTCTTCTCCATCAGGTTCTCAATAGCTTTAAGACCATTGTCCCTGAAGAATTAATAATACAGCCACAAATGATTAAAAAGGGCACATGCAGAACTGATAAACAAAATGTCCACATTATTTCTATGGTACCATACTGAATTAAGTACGACGCAAGATACTGTAAACACAAAATAAATAAACATAAAACATTATTATTTTGGACCTACAGTAGACCCTCATAACACAGTAGTCCATAATGCATGGGAAAGTTGATGCATTATCATTAGCTTTGCCTTTATGGCCTAATTTGTAACAAAAACAAAGTAAAAAGTTAAAAGCAACCTTTGATTTTATTCTATTGTAACAGTGGGCAACGGTTTATCTCCATACTTTACAGAGCAGCAGAGGCAGCCATTCCTCAGTTCCAGCCACTCCTCATACAGCTCTCCTGCCTGGCTCACTGCAAGGGACTTCTCCAGAGCACTGCCTGCAGGGGGAGCAGTTAGAGTCACTGTTAGAGACTGAGCACTTTGTACCAAAGATGTCATATTGCTGTCAAGAAGTCTGAAAACAAAGTAACGGGAACTGGGGGGACTGATTTTACAGCCTAAGCTGCCTAAAAATAGCAGAATAAATATACAACACTGATATCGTAAGAAAATTGAGGTGTAAAATAATGCTGAGCTCAATGAAAATATAATGCACTGTATTTTTATAAACTGTGGTACAGAGCTGCTCTGGGTTCAAGGCAAAGTGTTACTCTGCTGCTCTCTAGTGGAACTCTTTGGAAACACAACAGTCAGACAGGCAACACATATGTAGTATCAAGTGTAGTGAACCTTTTGACTGAAGAACTTGTATATATTAATTTTGAGTTCTACAGAGTATGTAATGAGTTTACCCTCTCCAAATTCATTGAGTATGACAGCAATCCGCTTGTTGTGTTGTTCTGTTAATATGTAGTTCAGGAGTGTGGTCTTTCCAGCACCTACAAAGAAACAGGAAAGCACTGGATTTGTGAGGAATACTGGTTATTAGTGGAAACCATCAGTAAATACCATTTTTCTAATACTCATGATGAAGAACAGCCTTTAATCATTATGAGAGTGCACAGTACTCTAGTCTAGGATCAGAGCTGGAGGATGGAGTGCCAGTTGAGTGAGATTATAATCCTGTTGCTAATCTTATTAAAGATGTGCGTAACGCAGATACTATTTTACCAAGGTAGCCTGTGATGATGGTGACAGGTATCTGCTCTGCAGGAGGACCAGGCTGGGTATCAATGGGCACCAACTCTGGGCAATCATCCTCCTCCTCCATCACTATGCCATCCATTCCAGAAATAATGTTTGTCTACAGGTGCAAAAGATGGATTTGATGTGATGCATCAGTGCACAGATACATTATAAACAGTCATGAACAGATGTATAACAAAACCGTAATAATGTAACATAAATACTCTGCAAATAAAACAGGATTTTGGTGGCGTCACAACCCCTTCCTTACAAGTCATAATTATAGCAATCATTTTTTTTTAAAAACCCAACATGCATTCACTCTCTGCAATATTAGCAACAGATTAGCACTCACTAAGTAAGCAGAGAATGATCATAGGACTGCATGGACTTTATCCTAACACCTGCTCAACACGTCAGCAAAACAGACCGACTTTCCTTGACTTACAAGGGCTATAGATGAATTACCTGGTTGCTCCTCTTGTAAATGCCGATAATCAAAGTTTTCACCAAAAATGTTAGCAACTGCACTGCTCTAGCTTCACGTTCAGACAGCGCGCTACACTGTAGAGACTCCGTTGAAATCCTGAAACAGCGACAATGGTTCCGCTTTCGTTTGCCCTTCATCATGACACAAAGTCTGGTAAGGGAGGGGGGTGAAATAACATTACAGTTAACCGACGAATAAATGATAAATAATTACAACCTTGTCGTGACAATAAATAGTTTTTGTTCAACATTTTTGTTTTTCTCCGTCCCAGAAGCAATTTTTTCAGACAAAACTTGGTGTGATGACAAGTATCCACCACAAGAGGGTCACTGGAACCGGCTTATGATATGCCTGCTTCCATCTACTGATCACACAAGGCAAAGTAAATGAAACAAACTATCAGAGATAAACACATTTCAAATTAAAGACATTATAGTATTATTATTGCGTCACAATACAGCTTATATTATAAACGGAAAACCTAATTTATTTTAATTGAGTTGAATCAATTTAATTTAATTGATTAATTGCTCAAGATTATTTTTTGTTCAAAATGTAATTTGTGCGTTTGCTAAATTTATTTGTCTGTTCTGAGAAAGTCCCACTGTGCACTCAAATTATTCTGGCAAAGACTCGGCCGGGTCTGAGCCCAGAGATCTGGCTGAAGTGCGGTCCGACTAGTTGCCTGAGTCCAACAACACACAACCAATCCCAAAAGTATAGGCTGACACATGCCAGACTCGGCCCATTAGGCCTACTGTTCTGGTGGTGGGCCTAAATGTCAGCCCTTCCCTTGTTTGAAGGGTAGAGTCAGGTTAAATTACCTGCTCTTTTATTAAAAGACACATTGAAGGAATGTTCAAAGTTCACAAGCAGCAGCAAAAATCCATAAACTGCAGTGGTAAGTGAAGGTAAACTGCAACTAATCACAACATTCACAAACATACAGTTCATTCATTTGAAAGCAGTTTTGACTGAATAAAAGGGTTAAATGTCACGTAAGTTATTCTTGTGCCCAAGAACAGTTAAGTTTGTATTATCTTTCCTAAAGCTATAGACAACACAGAGAATTCATAAATTAACACAAGGGGCACTGACTTCAACAGATGTGTATTCCACTAAAGTAACAAATGAAAATGTGGAATTCAGAAAATCCATTACTCTTTTTAACTGAACCCTGCACAGTAAGAGATATTGAGTGCAAATCATGAACTAATACAGAAAAATGAATACAGAAAACAGAAAAACATACTCTGGAGGTATAGACTTGCTTGCAAATGCCATTCTGTAAAGTCAAAGGCTTGCTTTCATTTGTCAGGCTACTTTAAGTTATATATAGCTGAAATCACTTTGAGCCACTAAGTTACCACATTAACCCCATAATCTACAGTAGCAGTAGTAGTAGTGTACCCCCTAACAGATTTTTAATTGGATATAAATCTTAAAATTTAAAACACTCATTTTGGTGTAAGAAAATTACACAAATGTTTTATAGCCTTGTGGCATGGAATGGGCCCCATTCATTGTTAGAGATCAAACTGGGATGTCATCCTCAAAGCATCTGGTGCAGAAAAGTAACAGGCTAAAATGATAAATATTAAAATTCTTATTATTAAATTATTGAAATTAAAAGTTCCATGATAGCAATATAATTTACTGGACTTGACTTTATGAATATGAGCAAAGCAGGAGAAGCAGTCAGCAGGTTCCATTTCAGAGTAGGCCATTTAATCTTTTGCTTGCAGTCAGTCAGGTGGGAGTAGTTACAGCTGAGTGGTTATATTTCTACAAATTCTATCATATTATCTTGAATAAAGCAACAAACAATACTAAATCAAAAATCAGTACATCAATACATTCTCACTCTAAATATAAAATCATGTGAGAACAAACCAAGGAGACTAGATGTACTGCTTAAGAACAAGCTCTTGCCCCCAGTGGGCCATGCGCCCAGCCAGCAAGCTAGCTGCCACCCTGTCTCCTGCAGCAGCATTAGTATTAGCAGTCATTGTACACTGATGCATTATAACTCGTTTTTGGAAGAAAAAATGTAAAATGTCATTAAATGCACATTTACAGTGACCTCTTTTTGTAAAGTGTATGTTTTCATGATGATTTTTCATTTATTCTTTCTGAATAATCATCTTTTATAAATATATGACACTGAGTCCAACGTTCCAACATTAACAATGTTATTATGTTAATATTCATCTTTATTTATTCTTTAGGTAATCTCTGACTGGATATTTAGTATAACATCGTATATGGAGAAGTTCTAGTTGTTGTTCCCTTCATGCAAAAGTTATACACAGTAAATGAGTGAATAAATAAGATTTCATAAAAAATGTAACTGCTTTTCATGGGAGAGTCTCATCCTGTTATACAACCCTGTGTCAAATGATAAATAATGTGTGAAGTAGTTTTCACTTTAGTCCACTTTCTTCCAAGGAATATTTTATTTTACAACACCATCCCAGTATTCACTGCTTTAAGTGCTGTGACAATACCATGTTGAAAAGGAGCTTTAATCTGACAATCTAACAATCCTGCAGTAAACCCTGTGTTCATGAAGGTTATAATAAGGTTCAATTGTTATTGGAACTGTCATGGTGATTTCTGTTATTAAGCCTGCCTTTACTGATATGAATGGGGTGGGCAAAATATTAGACACATCCGCACTTTAACAGCACCACACATTACAGCCCCCCAAATGACCATAGTTCAATCAACACTTCTTTCAACAGTTCAACAAAACTGAACATTATAACCTTTATTAATGTAGGATTTGTTGCAGAGCTGTTGCATTACACTGCATTCGTTTTAGCTAAGTGTACCTGATAAACTGCCAATTGTGTGAATCTTGGCTTTGCAACAGTAGAGAGACTTCTGCTTTTACGCATATGTTCCAAGGTTTGTCCAGTGCCTATTCCGTAGTGATCGTTGTAGTTGACGCTTTCAGAGAGTCATTGTGCGTACATTTTACGCAAATACCATTTCAAAGCCATTCCATGTGTGCACTCACAACGGTTGTTAAAAGATAAAGGTATCGACCGTAGTATTAATTAAATTACACGTCTTATTTTATTTTTGCTGTATTGCCCCCCCCCCCCCCCCCCCCCCCCCCCCCCCACACACACACACACACACTCTATCCTGCGCTTCACTGCGCATTGTCGCGCAGCTTTGACTGTCACGTGAATCGTCTTGAGAGAACAGGAAGGAGGAATGACAACAGTGTGAAGATGCTGCTGCTCCTGCTTTGACACTTTTCAACTCTTCGTTTTTCACTCGCACAAATCAACAGACAACAATGACTTCAATTATAAAAGAAACACAAAGGTGGGCATCATTGTTTTCCTTCAGAGACAAAGACTCCTCCCAACGTTATGCTACCTTTAGGCTGAGTCAGAGACACGAAGGCATTCTGAAAGTTATCGATATTGTGATTTGGTGCATAAATGGGCATTAGCAAACACTAGCTTGGGAATGACTTATGCTACCTCTGCCATTATCAAACTTATAATTATCAAGTTGTCTTGTTCTTTCAAGGGGATAACACGCCGCTAGACGCCAATGTCTTCTATAGTAATATACCTAGTAACAGAGATGAGACTCTCCTGTGGTTACAAGCATTGTGTTGGACAGGAGAAAAGTAGCTAAATTTTATTGCTGTAGTCAAACTGTGAGATATTGGCAGTCCACTTGAGTATTATCTTTCAGTATGCCTTCGTACAATACCTCTGAATGGGTACTTTAAGTGTACAAGTGCCTAATTATTTTAGGGTTGCAATTAACGATTATTTCCATTATAGACTAATGTCGTGATTTATATCAAGATGAGCTGATGAATTGTTTTGTCTTTGTAATGTCAGAAAATAGTGAAAAATTCCCAGAGTTCAAGATGTCTGTAGATTGTTTTACAACATAATTAATCAATTATCCAAATAGTTGCTGATTAATTTTATGTTGATTGACTAATTGATATATCAAGTAATCATTGCAGATCTAAATAATTTGTACTGCTGCTATTTCTTTACTTTGACCCAAGTGGTTTTTATAATTATATTATTATTTATATAATGTATATTATTTTCAATTGATGAAAATAATATTAATAGGAAGTAACTTTAGGATCAAAAGTCAAGAATGTATGGCATTGTACAAAAAAAAGAGGATAGAGAGAAAAAATATAATACAATTTCTAAAGTAAAACAGTCATTCTTTGAGATACACAGGCTGGACCTAAAAATCACAGTTCTTCAATACTGGTAATTTTGAATACAGCAGTACTGAAATATTTGTAGTTCTACTACTTGACTCGAGTGAAATTTCAAAAGCTTTTGATTGAGCATTATTAGCGTTATTACTACCTTAGTTTTCAGTGCTCACATAGACAGCTAGTGAAATTGTTGTATATAAAGCGTATTTACTTTGCAGTATGTGTGTGCCTAATAGTCTTGATACTAAAATTTGTCTGTACATACCCTCATTTTACTCCTCATACTTGATGCCCTTATTTAGTCAGTGCAATCAATTGCCATGGACAGAAAACACTGCTGTTAGCTGATGCTGGATCTTGTCACTGCAGTGTGTTTATTTGTGTTTGTTGTCAGTGTATAGAGCTTTAAAATTCACTGACAGACAAAATGAAATACCTTTCATGTATCACATAATACATGGGCAGTAAACTGTTGTTCTGTGTCTTAACTAAAAGATCTGAGTACACCGCTGTCATTAACACTCTCAACTCTTCTTTCCAAACAGCATTAAAGAAGCAGTGACTTTCATCAACGCCATTGATGTGAACAAGTTCTCCAGGCTGATCTCTCGTATCATACAAAAGCTTCATCTGAAGGTACTGAGACTGCACAGTGTTATCCGTGCCAAAGACAAGAGGCTTTTGAGGCTTTTGTGGCAAAGCTGTAGTGCCAGAGAGAGCAGTGCATGCATAATGACTTACTGGAGCATCAGTCAGAGTTGTCTCTAATGAATGCACACATGGCTGGCCCTGTTGATCACTCTGGTTTTTCACCAGACTTAGCTGGCTGTCAAGGTGTCAGTCATTAATTCCAAGAACAATTTGTATTTGTATTTTAATTTTTTGACCTGCTAAAAGAAAGTCACACGCTTGTGTTTATCAATAATATACATTTTGACATGTTATAGCTGGAAAAGCACAGGTATAACTAATAACATTAATGATGACTGTTTTGCATGATTGCCCACCAGGGAATCTGCAGGAGTTTAAAAAGCACTCAATTAAAATTTTTCAAAAAGGCCTTAGAAGGTATCAGAAAGTCTTCAATTTAATTTACAACTGTCTTAAAAATTTTCTATTGCCTGGTGTAGACAATAATGTTCCTTATAAAATGTTTCTGCGATTGTGGGCTGTTTGGAGATGTTGTACGGCTATAAACTGAAAATGTTGCTTCAACAGTGGGTGTGCTGCTGGAGGCTGTTCAACCCCTTTTTCTGGAGTTTCAGTCAGCATCATCAGACTTGCAGGAAACACTGTCACCACTGTTAGCTACAGTAGCTGGGAAGCTCATTGACTTATAATGGGACAGTATCAGTTTAGGCAAGAACTTAAATTAACTTGAATAAATTATCACTTTCATCCATCATCATCCACATCCAGCTGTTGGGGTCCAGGTCGTGCCAATGTAATCAATTTAATCGTTAGCACAAAAAAATGTGATATAATAATGAATAATTCTTGGCCATATCTTCCCTTTTCCATCATACTTTCATACTATGATTGGTTTGAGTATGAAAGAGGTATTAGATTCTATGTAGCATTAAAAAGGTCTTTAAAAAATCAACCCTTCAGGAACCCCGTACTCACTGACATGACTTACTGTTACACTTAATTAAAATGGAGCAATTGTTAATGTAATTAGTTTGACCTGTGCTTTTTACTGCTCTGAGAAGAAAAAGGTGTGGTGTGAAAAAGGTCTATACGCAAATTCTAAAATACACTGTGATTATTTTGTAATTTACATTTTTAATGTATTTTCATTTGATATTTTAATTACATTCTATATTACCTTTGTCATTGCTATGATAGTTGCTGGATTGGAGTGTTAAATGCTTTTTTTTTGGTTTATTTTGTGTAAGGCATTTTACTGTTTAAGTGATGTAATAGTACAAAAGCCCATTGTATTAATTTCACACTAGTGTTATTGAAAAGTGAATGGAGACTTGAGCTTGGCATCTTTATGTTGTAACTACATGGTGGGTATTTGTAATTGATTATTGACTAAATAAATATAAATGAAAATTAAAAATTAATTGGTTAATTAAAACTCAGTTGTCCAATATGTTAGATTAAATTGAATTTATATGGTTCCTCATATGCTGACCTCTGTATACCTATTCTGTCTCATCTGTTTCCTATTTCTCTGTATACTATCTGAAAGCAGCTTTTCATTTATTTTTCAGTTCTTGAAAACTGACCTTTCGTGGATCTTTTCACATCAACACAGTAAATTATGTTTTCTTCACAGAGAGAGCGGACATTCAGTGAAGAAGAGGAGCAAAAACTTCAGGCTGCTCTCTCATTGGATAAACAGGCTCTCAATCTCGTCCTGGAAACGGCTGCCTTCATTCTAGAGCAGGTGAGGGGTGGTCATCCAACAATCCTTTATGACATTATTACCTCAGCCAAAGAGGTTATGTTTTCGCCTGTTTCTGTTTAATTGTCTGCAGGACTATGCAAAAATTACAGAACTTATTTGCACCAAACTTGGTGGAGGGGTGGGGTATGGGTCAGGGAAGAAGCCATTCAATTTTGGGGCAGATCCGAATCATTTACTATGAATTTTTTTTCTCTCAAGTCTGGTGTATATTGTTCAACATTGGCCTTGGTGGAGGTCTGTGCTCTCTGAGTGCCCCTCTAGTTACAAGGGTTTTACCTGATTTATTTATTGTAAAATGATTGAAATGGTTTGAATTTCTTGTATGACAGATGTTTGTTCTTTAAAGCTATTTTTAATGGGTCAGCATTGGGTATGAGATATGATGGTGGAGGTCAGGTAAAAAAAAAGATGTTGGATATGAAAAATAAGAAGAATGATGAGCCTAACCCACTTAGACTTGAGTAATTTCTGTCCGTTTTACATTCACTTCCCAGTGTTGTTTATATTATACGTAATCCTTTAACCAAGAAATATAAACGGAAAAACCAAAACCAAAACCAAAACCAAAAAATAAACTAAGTGACAAACAAAGTGACTATTATTATTATTATTACCCCAAGACACAGTTAATAATGAGACTGGACACAGTTCCTAAGTCTTACAAATCTGTGGTTGATGATATGCTTTGATTAAGTTCATATTTTCAATAACTCAATGTGTGGAGAAATCTAATAAGACCCTCACTCCAAAGAAAGTAAGAAAGAGAAATTAGCGTAGTGTCTGTAGCTTTTGTGCCTTGTGTTCCTTTATTGTGGATCACATTGTGAGCCCATTTCTCCAGCTGGGGTCACTGTTGTATTGTGAGTTTTTTGTATTGTAGCAATGTTGAGTAGAGTGTTGGTTGAATGGAAATGGGAGCAGGAATGTAAGAGTTATTTGTTGCACCTACAAAGCATAGCTAATGTTAGTATTTATTAAAGTGACTACTCTACCTCATATCTCCTCTCCTTTGCAGGCAGTGTATCATAATGTAAAACCCGGCTCTCTGCAGCAGCAGCTGGAGATGGTTCATCTAAACCCAGACAAGGCTGAGGTTTTCTCTCAAACCTGGGCCACTGCTGGACCTGAGCTGGTGGAGAAGCTGAAGCACAATATCTTTGCCCCAAATAAGGTACTGAACTTTACCTACACATACAGTACATGACATCATTTTAACCTAAACCTGACCATGATTCTAAACCAAAGTGTAAGATTGATCCACTTCCAGACACTGAATATTACAGGCTACTTTTCACATTGTTCCATCCCTTTGAACTGATCACTGTTTGGTGAGACGTTATTCAGCTGTTTGTTTTACAAAGACTTCGTTCACAGCTCACACAAGTTGTCACATTAATTTTAAAACGTGTTCCTTTCTATAACTCGATTAAGTGGTGACACTTCAAACAGCATTCATTTCAAAGTCAAGGGAATTAAGATCGCACAGATTAAATAAGCGGCAGGTATGCATCAGTCACATTATGCTGGAGGTGTTGCTGCTGTCATACTTTCAGACATCTCACCTGCCTGTGTCTCGCAAATCATCTTTCCCTCCTTCATGAATTTGTTGCTGCTAGCAGAAGTCCGTGACGGCCATTGATCCTCAAGACAACCTCTGCTCCTGCTTTGACTTGGGCAATAGTCAAGTCAGGCAAGAGACTGTACATAACTGACATGCAGCCATTTTCTCATCAATATTTTATATTGAATATATCAGCTGAAAAAGATATGTCATAAATTTTCTCACCCATTTTCCCACTAGTGATACTAGCAGTCAACACATGCAGGTGGTGATCAAAAGAGGGTTGAACTAGGGAGATAAAACAATCTCATTTAGAGCTGTGAGTATTAGTCAATGACCTGATTGGTTGGCCAACAGAAAATGAATCGGCAACTATATTGATAATTGATTTATCATGTCATTTGATGCTTTTCTTTGTCATACGTGATAGTAAACTGAATATCTTTATTTATTATTGTTACATTAAATAGACAAAGTGATCAATCAATTAATCAAGGAAAACAATCAGCAGATTAATCAATAATGAAAATAATTGTTAGTTGCAGCTCTGGTTGCAATACTGGTGACAAATGGATGTTTCATGATTCACAAATAAAACTAATATTTACAAATGTGTATTACAATTAGTGAGTAATTTATGTTGTGCACAAATGCACAAATATTTCCAATTTCAAGTTCATTGATTTTCTTGTGCACATAAGTGTCTAGAAATAAAGTTGGTTTTTTTTGCACTTATTTACAGATTGTTAAATGTGGATTAGGATGCACTTGTGTCTGACATTTGAGACTCTTTTGCACCACAAATGGATTTTGTGGTCAACAGTTGTCTGATTGGCCAGCCCAGTTGTTCCTGTGATTAACACTGTTGCTTACAGAGTCATTTATTCAGTCATTTATATATTAAATAATATTAAAATATAGTATATATATTTATTTCAATTAATTGATTTTATTCATTGATGTAAAAAAAATAATGTACTCATTTGCATATGGTGAAAGTAAAATAACTAACACATTATAGAGTTGTGATGTTTATTCATGCTAATGTGGATGTTGTTCCCGTTGTGAATAATGTGGCCCAGCCCTTCCCCACCTCACACCTGTCGTCTGATGCTGTGGAAGCATCCAGACCCAATAAGTCACACATGGTTTATTATTATGGCCTCTCTCTGCATCATAAAACACTTAACTGCCCTGCCTTGACTCAGTGCTGCTAATCTATCACACTGCTACAGCTGACTGATGAGGTATCTCCCAGTAAATCAGCCAGGCAGGCAGTGAATTGGTGAGATTGGTGTTTGGAGGCACTACAAGGTTTTTTGCCTGACTTTAACATCAGCTGGGCCTTTTTCACATTTAGAGATGTTGTAGAAAATCTCTGAGTTATGGAGGAAAGGTCAAACACATTTTAAAATTGTTTTTAACAGTTTGAGTCGCAGTGGTCTTTATCTGCATTTCTATTTATAATTATTATATTATAATAATGCTGATAAATATACCACCTATCAAGGAACAATGAAAGGTTCAAATAGTGAGAGCAGAATGAGGAAAAAGGACTAATTAAATATCAATACATTCATAAATGTACACAAATATGAATTTTTCTTTAGAAACTTTGCTTCCACTGCTGTATTGTGGGGAAAGTGTTACCTTTGACTTTTTGTAATTGTGTCTAGGGCATTTGATACTATTAAAAGTGAGGCTTTATTACAACTATGCTAATATTCAAGTAAGTTTGGCATAATTTGTGTTTCAGCTGGAGTATGTCGGTTGGCAGTTGAACCTGCAGATGGCCCAGTCCAGCCAAGCCAGACTGAAATCTCCCAGTGCTGTCCTCCAGCTGGGGCTCCACAATGAAGAATCTGAGGTATGAACACACACGTACAGTATGCATACACATGCTTCTCATGTGTCAGTTATTTTTTGTTTTTTTTTGCTCCGTGTCTCTTATACCTTCACTTATCTATTGTGAACACATTCACTACGACGAAAATCTGTACTATCCACTGTAATGAGAGGCCTCTTCTGTGTTTATGCCAAATGAGAAGCATCTCCAATCTGTCGCTCTTTCTTTGCTAATAGATGGTAATCCCACTGGTGTCTGTCTTGACCCAGAGGTAGACGTACATCTGGCTCTGGAGTAACTGTAGTGTAAAGACCAGAGATCAGGGAGCTTGTTATCTGAAACCTCCAGGGTTTTTTTGTTCTCTTGAGAGACTCACTCTGTAACTAGGATTGGACAGTATGTGCATTTATTGGAGGGTCTTGTTGTAACTAGCATTGAACTGTATCCGTTTATGCACAGTATCCGGGCTTGTTTACAATATGTTTTAGATTTAGTCTACATGTCTACCTTATTGAGGCAATTATTGAAGATTAGTCACGGTTTCCTTATTTATGTTCTTAATACTCAACCTTTCCATTTAGATATTAGTGTCAATTCAAAACAAAGTATTACATACAGGATTTTGGTGCAGCATCCTAATGAGGCCTAGCTCTAAATATTTGCATTTATAAAGGAAAACGTTTACAAACATGATACAAATATGGTTTTGACTTTGGATTTTCCAGTTTAGCATTTCCCTTTTTCCATTCATTTGTATTCAGTAGAGTTTGTTTGGGTTCCAATTAACTAATGCTATGTAGTTACTCTAATAGCCAAGACCTCATGTGCCTCCCTCACTCATCTCTCACTTTTCCACTGGGAGAAGGATTGCTCTGTAGCTGTAGCAGAAGGAGTGAGAACTCACAAATATGTTTCTGTTTTCACATTCAATGATTTTCAACCACCACCAAGTATGTGATTTGTTTGAAATATTTTATCTAGACTTTTGAGTCTCCTTACAAACTTAAACATGAGCACATACTTGGCAAGATAAGATCAAGTGCTGCTGATGTTTTGACAAATATTTGAAATGTATTCCACAGATTTTAAATGCTACACAGGACTGCTGTTTGTTGGCCTGGATACTGATTTTTTTTTTTAGTTATAACATTCAGGCATTTGTCTGGTTTCTTTTAAAGCAGTTTTTGTCGCAAAATGGTGGGACTGATTATCCCCCAAGCCTGGATAGTGTTGTTCCAGCTGACTAGTCAAGTGTCTTTCTTGCACGCTGCTTTGTATTCAGTCCCTAGAGAATGCCGGTTCAGCCTAAACGTGGAATTAGGCATGACATATTCAAATTGCTGCCGTCTCAAATTTGGGCCTATAGGCGTAAGCTAGAAAAAATATATGTTTTTCTTTATCTTTGTGAATGCAACAGCAGAAGAAATTTTTTTGTTTTGGACTATTTTCTGCTGTGTTTTCCCGAGGCTAGCAAAAGGGGCATTAATTTATTTAAATCCACTTACACAATTCCCCTTGTGGGAGGAGATAGCTGGGGGGCTAAAACAAGGCTGGTTAAAAGTGTGGAGGGATCAACTTCAGTGAATATTACTGAGGTGCACATCCTCTGGTGAACTGCAGGGGGCAATGTTGTCTCACAGGTTGGAAAGCATCCCTCGGGCGCAGTGAAGTATCTGAGCGATGGATAGGATACCTTGTTTAACTTTGTATTAAGGCAGTTTGAGTGAGCATGTTTTGTCCTTTATTTTTTTCAAATTTCCATCCATCATTGTTTCCTGATTATAGTAAGTTTGTTTTCTTCCAAACTTACTGAGAATAGCTCAGTGCAACTTCTTGAATGTCAAAACACTGCAATGACTGAGAAGTAAATTAGTTGTGAGTAGAAATGAAATTCAGCTGCAATTGTCATACTAATTACAGAGCAGATTTATAACACACTCACTGCTAACTGTCTAAAAGAGAGGGGAAGGAAAAGCTGCAAATAGGAGAAATTAGAGGATTAAAGGTAACAGAGGACAGGCGGAGAGCAGGAGGGATATAAAGATATAAAGGAGAGGAGCTGAAAACAAATAAAAAAAAGGACATAGGGAGTAAAATAATGAAGATGAAGAGGATAAAGGAAAGAAAATGAAAGAGAAGGAGAGGAAGGCAAGGGTGGCCTTCTGTATATTATTGATTGCTTGGAACCCAAATGGAGAGTTAGAGACTCTCCCATCTGACCAGCCTCCTGCTTCATTAGCACTCTCCGGAGGAGGAGGAGGAGGAGGAGGAGGAGGAGGAGGGCTGCCAAGGAGCTTCACATTTTCCTTCACTGAACAATATGTGACATACAGTATATCTACAGTACAATGGAGCAGATGTTGGAACACATATTTAGAGAAATGAGTGAACTGCTTTTTGGGATATTAGGATATTATTTTCATGGAATTATTTATTATCGGGGATTTATTTCCTAATAATTCCCCCTCTGCCTCCGAAGTGTGTGACCAACAACATATATTGAAATTATAGATCACTGTTCCATGCAGCAGTCATCCCGCCCAGGGAAGCTGCTGTTTCCCTAAAATGAATTTGTATTGAGTTCAGTTTGGTGTAAAGTTGATGTACTGCAGAAGCATTGCAGTACATCTTCGCACAGGTAAATGCTCTCACACCCACCCCTTAGTGTTTCAAGAGTTACATCTCTGCTTTATCCTCATAAGGACGAGTGGAAATGGCCTCATTCAGTGTAGGTATGACACGAGACCTGTTGCATAGCTTGTTTGTTATCCCAGAGGAGAAGCAGCTGAGACAGAAAAAGACTTAAGTGATCTGCTGTCAGAAGGAAAAAAAAAAATAGAAAAGAATGAGGATCTGACCACGGGACAGAAGGAAGAGGATGAGGATGCAGAGGAAGGTGATAGGAAGGACGAAAAACATATGAAAGAAGATGAGGAAAACAGTATAATGACAACAGGAAGATGACATTGGGATAGGATGGAAATGAAGAGAAGGATGGGGTGGTGACAACAAAGATGAAACATGCTGAGGAGAGTGGGGGATTTGTTTAGATTTCTCTTGCAATTCACTGTGGGACATATGAAGTGTGGAGTAATGCCAGTATTGAATTTCAGTATATGTAGAAGCGGTAATAATAATAGTATGTATGGGATGTCATGTTACATCATGCAGTTATTAATGGTTTGCAAAGTTTCCCATTCATCAACACACAAAAAAGCACCAGGTATCTGGGTTTTTATCTGCCAAGTCCGCTATCTACACTACAGATGACCACGTTTCGCTCTTTTCCAACTGTACAGACCTTTAAATATTAATTACACAATCTACCTGTTTTAATTCTGAGGTGTGCTGTCTGCAGAGATTTGGTCTTTGTGGGATGAAGTTGTGTTTGAAGAGAAGCAACTAAAAAAGCAAACAAGTGGCTTTCTGCCCAGTACCTGGTCTGTGTGTGTGTCCTCTCTTGACTGTTGGAGTGTTTAGCCCATGCATGTCTCCTTTCCACTAAATTTTTCTTGCTTAGGGTTTTGTGCTCAGGAGTCCCTCAAAGTACAGTTTCTTTCGTGCACAAGGATTATGCACAAAAGAAACTCATAAAAATTCAGGCAAATTGATTAGTTCTGTAGATTTAAGTTCAAGGGGCCTTCACAGGGCTTTGGCTGCAAGAGGAGTCATCTAGCTTTGGCTTGTAAACCAGATATGAAAATCAACTCATGTCCCCTCGTCAAAGGTTAAATAGTTCCCGATGCCCGAGTAGGTCAAACTATCGATAATTTTATTTTAAGAAAAAAAGCACACAGATGTCCTAATAAATAAGGGGAAAAAATGTTTTTGTTTTTCTCTCTGATCTTGTTAAGGACCCCAGGGTGGGCACCACTGATTTAGCAAAACAATAATGGTTTACTCCAAAACAGAGACAGACTGAAACAGAGGGCTGGTTTTGTTTCTTTCGCTCTCTCTCTCGCTCTCTCTCTGTTCGCTCCTCTTGTGTCCCTCACTATCATTTTGTCCCTCTTTTTTCACTGTATCCATTTGCCCTTTTATTCATAAACATGCAAGAAGACACTCTGGTGTCGCTTTAATGAGTCTGAAAGTTGAATTCCCTTGCTAGTCGTGGTGTCTCGCTCTCTCTTTCTCTGTGTCTGTCCTGTGGCATTAGAATGAGCCACTGCTCCACTGACCAAGGGTAGGGTGACATTTATAATACAGAACATCCACTTGCAAGGCAGCCACCGTCGATTTCAATATTTATTGTGGGCATACTAGCCCACAAAGGCACGGGGTAAGAGCTAGTGAGCTAATGTCGCTTCTACATGCTGGCTCAGACTTCAAAGGATATCTTTAGCTGATAGCTTCAGACAGACTTGATGAGAATTGATAAAGCTAAAGCTCTTTTGAGTTCCAAACCGCAAAAGGGGGAAAAAATTACTTAATGCAGCTTTAGGATACTTTACGACAAAACCCAAACAGATTTCTCTTATGTTCCTCCAATGGCCCCCGAACATTCAATTACATTTGTGAGCAAGGACAATTTTCTCCAAGAGCAGGAACCTCCACTTTACTTTGGCTTTGGCTTTGTTGACTTTTGATTGAAATAACAATATCCAAGTACTTGTTTCATACCCAGTCTTCCCCCTAGTGCTGAAATGACTAGTTTACCAGCTGATTTGTTGGTTGACAGAAAATTAATCAACATTAGTTTTAATAATCAAATGATTGTTTAGGTAAAAGGTATTAACCTAAAATTCCAAATATTTGCTGTTTTTAGATTTGCCGTTTTTGCCTGTTTCTATCATTTAAATTAAATATGTGCAGGTTTTGGGCTGTCAGTTGAAGATGTCACTTTGGGCTCTGGAAAATTGTAATGAGCATGTTTCACAGTTTTTGGTGTTTTGTGGACTGATCAATGAATTGATTGTTCAAAAATTCAGTGATTAAAGTAAATACAAGTTGCAGCCTTGCCCACTCCCTCCACAGGGAGATCAGAGGTTAGAGATCAGGGTCAGCACCTCTGAGCTGGTGGA